TGACACAGAGCCTCCACTTTGTGGTACAGGTGGGTTGGGGTGGGTCTGAAGTGGGTGCTGGCTCCTTGACATGCGTGGGGCAAAGCCCCTGTGCTGGCAGGGCAGGGTGCAGGCAGGGCAGGGCAGGGTGCTGGCAGGGCAGGGTGCAGGCAGGGCAGGGTGCAGGCAGGGTGCAGGCAGGGCAGGGTGCAGGCAGGGCAGGGTGCTGGCAGGGCAGGGCAGGGTGCTGGCAGGGCAGGGTGCAGGCAGGGCAGGGTGCAGGCAGGGTGCAGGCAGGGCAGGGTGCAGGCAGGGCAGGGTGCTGGCAGGGCAGGGTGCAGGCAGGGCAGGGTGCAGGCAGGGTGCAGGCAGGGCAGGGTGCAGGCAGGGCAGGGCAGGGCAGGGTGCAGGCAGCCCAAGCACCCCGTGCCCAGCACTCCCACAGCAGCAGCAGCAGCAGCAGCCGATTAATTAGCAGGGCGGTGGGAGAGCAGCCGGCAGAGCCGTGCGGGATCGATGGGCACATCGACCGCCCGGGCAGCTCCAGCCCTGCCAGCCGGAGCTGTGGAGCTGGGGCACGCACGGAGCCTGGCAGCGCCCGGGGGTGGCTGTGGCTGAAGCATCAGCCCCTTGCCAGGGCACTCCAGGTTGCACAGGGCCGGGAAGGAGAGGACAGGCACCGACGGCACCGCCACGTGTCCCGTGTCCCCGCAGCCTCGGGGCTGACATCTGCTCCCCGGTGACCCGGGAGAGTGGCTGGTCCCCGTGCCACGCTGGGAGGACGTGGCGGTGCCGAAGTTTGGATGTGCCTGTGTTGAGGGAGGTGCAGGGTGGTCCGCTGGAGCTGGTGGCATCCACTGTGGGAGCTGAGGGAGTGCCAGAGTCTCGGGGACAGTATGGACACGGTGACTCGTGGAGGTAAAGGCTGTGTGGGCATGTGCCAGCCGTCTGGGGGGTACCCAGGCCAGGATACAGGAGAAGCAGAACACACCCCAAAGGGGCGGTGGCGCTGCCTGCACAGCCGCGTGCTGCAGACACGCCTGCAGGTTTGGGGGCACACAGCTCCTGTCCCTGTCCCCATCCCACCGCCCACTGCCCCCGCCTGCCTCTGCCAAGCGAGAAGTGCCAACCCGTCCCTGCGGGGAAGGAGAGTGCTCAGCCGTGTTGCAGAGCCGATATCCACCCAGATGAGAAGTGACAGCAAAGGACCCTTCTCAGGTACAGGCTCCCTGAGGCGCAGGGCAGGAGATACTGTCCCCGTCTTTGCCTTTCTGCTGCTGGCACTGGGGACGGCCCTGCAGGCATTTAACCCCTTCCCCACCGTGCAGCTGCAGCTGGACGGCAGCAGCCCAGCACCGGCAGTGCCTTGCCTGTCCCAAGCTGCAAGAAACAGGATGGGGCAGGCAGAGCCCAAGTGTGGGAGCAAGAACCAGAGGTGCAGCCCCTCTGCTGTGCCCCACTGTGTCCTGCCAGGCGTGGGAGCCCATGCCCGGCAGGCCCACAGGCCCCTCACCTCCTGCATCTCCCGCACTGACTGCTGTCTCTGCTGGGAGGTTGTCGTGGGAACTGTGCACTGTAGGTACCCCTCACCCTGGGTACCCCTCCTTGCATGCCACGGTGGTTCTGAATGGAGGGTTGGCACAGCTTGTGCCCTTCCAGGGCCTGGCAGGGAGGGCAAGGGGAGCTCCAGTGCAGGAATGCGTGGGGATGCTGTCGGCAGCCAGGGACGGATGTCCCCTGTGTGCCCTCACCTCTCCTGCAAGGTCCAGAGTCCCCCTGTGCCCCCTGGCTGGGTGACGGGGCAGGCGGGTGGGCTCAGGCACTGCGGGCACAGCGTGGCACAGCCTCAGCGGTGGCAGCCACGCTGCCTGCCCACTCCCACGGTGAGCCAGCGCTGCCTGTTCCTCCCCAGCCCACGCACCCTGCACGGAGCCAGCAGCTCCTTCCCCACATATCTGGGGATTTTAACCCTGCAGCACTCACTGGGTGCAAGCATGGGTGCCTGCACCAGACGTGTGCTGGGGGCAGGATCTGTCCTCGTTGCCAGAGCTGGTGGCTCAGGGAGAAGCTGGCCTGGCAGTGCCTGGCCATGGCTGCACACCAGCTGCTGGCAAGGTGACCCAGATGGGCACCCAGCACCACAGACCCACAACCCCTGCACGGAAAGGGGGACACGGGACCCCATCTCTGCAGCAGCACAGTCCATCCCCATTCCTGCTGTGCCCTGCAGCAACCCCAGCCCCATATCCCCAACCCCACTTGTGCCACGTGGGCCCCTTGACCTGCACCTCCCATCCCCATTAGATCCCACAGCACTCCTGGCTCCCCCACCCCTGTCCTTGCAGGCCCCCCTGTCTGCCGTGCCTCCCACCCCCACCTCCAGCCCTGCCGCATGTCTGCTGCCATCTGCCTCTCCCTTTTGATTAGTATTAATTTTTAATTATTATTATTGACAGGACTGCCAGCTCGGCTGCCAGCTGGGCCAGCTGCCCAGCATGAGATAGGCCAGGGGCAGCCTGGCACTGCTGTACTCACTGTGTGGCTCCTGGCAACTGCTGTGCCCACCCAGGGGGTGACTTTGTGCCCCCCAGCACCCTCTGGCCCTCAGACAGGGACTGTGGGATGCAAAAGTTGAGGATGAAGGTCATTGTGTACCCAAAGGGCAGGCTCAGGGTGGGCAGTGCCAGCCCCCTAGCCTGGCTGGGCTGCAGAGCTGATGGAAACCCATAAAGCCATGGAGATAAATGGCTCCTATTATTTTTCCAATCAAAAGAAATCCCACTGTGGCTACATGAGCATGGTGATGAACCGCGGCAGTGCAGCAGCCTCTGCACCCCCTCCTGCCCCAGTTAACCTTGGCCTTGGGACGTGATGGGGCAAGGGCACCCCATGAGCGTGATGCCCTTGCTGGGGCACGGGGACAAGGCCAGCCTGGCTGCACGGTGCCCTAGAGCCAGATGACAGGGCCGTGTGACACAGAGCAGTAGGCTGAAGGGACAGAGGGACAGACATGCCCTGAGAGACATGCCCTGCCTCCCACGCGCTTGGCGCTGTCACTGCTGGGGAGGGGCATTAATGGTGCATTTTCGGGGGTCTCAGCACCCCTCCTCCAGTTTCGGATTTGCCAGCTGGGACAGCGCTGTGACCCCACTTCGGGCAGGGAACCCAAACGTGAGCAGGGCAGGGCAGGGCAGGGCAGAGCAGGGCAGAGCAGGAGCCCACTGCAGGCAGGGCAGGGCAGGGAGGGAGCCCGCCACAGGCAGGGCAGGGCAGGGCAGGGCCGGCTCCATCCCCGCCGCACCGGAGCCTCCGAGACCGGGCGAGCGGCACCATCGCGTGGCGAGGAGCCGGCGGTACAGGCAGCGCCCGGGCTGCCGGCACGCCATGCAGAGACAGCCCCTGATCCCCGCCTGCAGCACCCCCAGTTTGGGGTACTGGGGGTACCATCCCCCGTACTGCATCCCCTGATCCCAGTCCTGCCACCTGCAGCATCGCAAGTTTGGGGTGCTGCCCCCCATGCTGCATCCCCTGATCACAGTCCTACCACCTGCAGGCCTCCCCAGCCCCGTGGCCCTACTGGGGAGGGCATATGGTGCTGTTGCCCTTGCACCCGCACAGAGGAATGACCCAAAGCCAGCACACGATGCAAGGACACAGGGACATGGCCTGACACACCACCAGCCAGGGATGAGCTCCTGTCTTCAGCCTCTATACCATCCTCTGCTTGAACAGGAGCAATATTGGGTGGTGGAGGGTCCTGCACTGCCCTTGGGGAGCTGCAAGGCTGATGTTCCTGGGGAAAGGCAGCTGAGTCCCAGGGACACAGCTCTCTGCAGCCAGGGCAGCTGCAGGGTAATGCAGGGCTCAGCCAGCCCAACCCCACAGGCTGCACTGCAGGCAGTCCAGACCCTGGGTGACACAGCCACACCAGCTGCCTGTCAAGCTGTGACAGGACAGGTCACAACCAGCTCTAAGAGCAGAGAGTGGTCAATACTTCATCCTCCTGCAGGGCCTGGCTGGGCAGGGCAGCACTGAGCCATCCCAGCAGGGGACAAGCAGCCCTGGCTCTGGGATGGTGAAGTGGCACAGTTAGGCTGGACATGTGGCCCTGGACAAGGTGCAGCCCTGGGCTGAGATGGAGCCTGGGTGCTGCTGGAGAGAATGGAGGATTATCCTGCATGAGAGCAGAACTGCAGCTGCCACTGTCAGGGGGTGAGCAGACAGCTCCTCCTCTGGAATCTGACTGGGCAGGGAAGTGCAGGTACAACAATCAAACACACAAGTAAAAGATTAGAGGACAGAGTGTGGGTGGGGCTGGAAGAGAGTATGGGAGGACAGGACCACCAGAAGGGACAGCAGAAGACATAAGCCATGGAAAGGAGGAGCCAGCAAAGTCCCAGGGCTCAAAAGACTGAGGTTGTGAACCTGCAGGTGTGGTACCAAGGAAACCCTGGGAAGAGAATGAGCTTCATAGCACCTGTGCTGCAAGTGTCTGTGGGAGGGGATGCAGCATGGGACCAGGCTGTGCTGCAGCCCAACACCCACCCTGCAGGGACACTGCCAGCCCTCAGCTGGGACACTGGTTTTCCAGAAGGCAGACCCATGTCCCACAGATGTGCAGGGGCTTAGGAGAAAAGTGGACCAGCTCCCCAGGCTGAGCTGACCCAGATGAGCTGGGCCTCAGTAGTCCCTCCCATGCCCAGGTTTTCAGGGCAGTGAGCTGTGCCCATGCCTTGGCCAGGGAAGGATAGAGTAGCATTCTTCTGGGAGCTATCCAGGGCCCCCCAAAACACAAGAAACACCCTCACAGCCTCAGGGAGAGGGGCACTGGTCCCAGGCTCTAGGGGAAGTGAGGGGACACATGCAGTGTCCCGAGCCCACCGTGATGCCAGCTCTGTGCTCCTGGCCACACTCACCCAGAATGGAGGGGCCAGGATTTGGCACATCTTCATCTCCCTCCCAGGAAACACCCCCAACAAACAGGAGCCACCCCAGGTTGCCAAAAGCCCTGGAGACACAGATCATGCTCAGATGCAGAAATTTATTGTGAGACAGAACATGGGAACTTGACAGGCAGCTCCTCACTCTCCCCACAGTCACACCACAAACTTGGTCTTGGCAAGGGAGCTGCTCTTGGTGGCCGTATCCGCATGGGCCTGGTACCCAATGGCCACCTTCTGTGACAGCCCCAGGTACTCCTTGTAGACACGCCTGGAGGAGAGAAGGGGATGCATGAACAGGGCAGCACCACTTCTCCCATTGGGCCTATTCCCCCAAGCAGGGGCAGCCCTTATTCCCTGCGCAGTCTCCCCCAAAGCTGCATTACCCAATGTGGGTGACCCCTTCCTCGTTCTCCGCCTCCCGGGTCCAGATGGCAATCTTGTCCCCTTTGGTGCGGATGTTGATGACGGCCCCACACACCTCGTCGCTGTACTCATCAAACATCTCCCCAATGAGGCACAGCAGCTGTTGGGAGGAGAAAGGGAGCCTGGCACGGTCCCCACTGGGGCTCAGCCCTGGGGCAGGGGGCACACCACAGGCAGGACCCCCGAGAGGGGCAGCACTCACTGTGTCCAGCCAGAAGCGGTCCAGCTCGGTGTGCCGCTGCTGCTTGGCCAGGGTGATGAGCCAGCGCCCGCCACGCTTGTTCTGGCTGTCCTCCCACATGGGCTCAATGCCATCCTAGGTGCAGGCAAGGGACAGTCAGGGGCACCAAGTACTGGCCAGAGCTGGCCTGGGGAGCTGTGAACACCCAGCCAGATTTCCCCTCCCACCAGCCTTACCAGCACCCCCATAACGCCGGGTGCTGGGGGGATTCTGAGGATGGGGTGCCGTACCTTGAAGAGGGAGTAGTCACAGCCAGCTGTGAGCTTGCTGGCGAGCTGGATGTGACTGTACAGCCTGTGTTAGATGGAGGCACAGAAGCAGGTGAGAATAGGTGCCTCAGGCTCAGACTCCCCCACCAGAGTATCTCCAGAAGGGACACAGTGGGTGTGCCCACCCAATGCACACTCACGCCCAGAAGTCCTCCACAGTGCTGAATTTGGTGACGAGGCGCAGGTTTGCCTGCCACATCTTGCTCTTGTCATTCTTGAAAAACCAGAGTGCCCATCTGGGGACGGAGGGGAAATGGGGTGTTCAAAATGCCAGAGTCCCCCTCCAGCCCCCCCACACCCATCCCAGCGCTGAGAGAGGCTGTCCATGGCCAGGCCTCCCATACCTGTTCTGCAGGGGGTGCTTGCCCAGGATCTCTGCTGGGAGCAGCTCTTGCTGCCGAGCCCTCTGCCGGCGTCGCTCCTGCTGCCTCTGCAGGGGAAAGTGGGACAGCCCCGAAGAGCCCCATGACCAGCCCAGCAGGGAGCCTGCAGCCCCCCACACTGGCACCCCGAGGGCTGGCAGGGCTCTCCGTGTTCTACAGCCTCCCCAGCCCTCAGGGCGAGCACCCACCTGCTCCCCCGTAGCCATCCCGAGCAGCAGATGCTCTCCCGGGGCCGCCTCTGGCTCTTAAGTACCCAGAGGCAGGTGGGGTGAGGAGCTTTCCCAGCTGCAGCTGCTGGGGTGGGAGGGCGGTATCCTGGGGAGACGGCGCCAGTCCTGCCCTTCCTGGGGAGCAGAGAGATGGGGGGGTCCCTCTCTAGGGCAGGGAGCTGGGGAATGAGGACAGGGGCTCAGAGTGGGATGGGATCAGGATGAGGGAATAGAATTGTGTAAGTTTGGCACCGTGTGTGGGGACCACGATGTGGTACAGGCGGGGCAGGACGGTGCACAGAGAGGGTGGGATAGCGTCAGGTTGGAAGGTAGGGATAGGATGGGATGGGGAGGATGGAGTCAGGACAGGACGTGATGGGGAGGGGATGGGTTCGGAATTGGATGTGGTGGGATGGGAATGGGGTGGGATGAGGTGGGAAGAGGACATGACGAGGAGAGGATGGGAATGGCATAGAGACAGGGTAGAATGTGGAGGGAGTTGCATGGCAATAAGAATGGAATGGGGTAAATGCAGCCTGCAGATGGAAAGCAGTGGGATCGGGACGAGATGGGACAAGGAACGGGAGGAGATGTGACCGGGAGAGGGTAGGAGAGGATGCGATGGGGGTCAGGACAGAATAGCATGGAGACAGCATGGGGTGGGATGAGCGATGGGGATGGCAAGAACGACTGTCCCGGCGTGCCGCGCAGTGCGGGGAAGGAGCCCGCGGGGCTGGGGCGGCGAAGGACCGGGGGCGCCGCTGCCGTGCGGGGCGGTGCGGGGCGGCGCGGGGCGGTGCGGGGCGGCGGGGCACGGCTCGGCACGGCCGAGCACGGCTCAGCCCGGCTCAGCCCGGCGCAGCCCGGCGCGGCGCGGTCCCCCCCGCGCATCACGGCGCATCACGGCGCAGCGCGGCCCCGGCACAGCCGCACTGAGCCCGCCCCGCCGCAGCCCGGCCCGGCCCGGCCCGGCCCGCCCGTCCCCGCCGACAGCGAGCCAGGTCGGGCGGGCGGCGGGACCGGGGGCGCGGGGAAGGGATGCGCGGGACCGGGATGCGCGGGACCGGGATGCGCGGGACCGGGATGAGCGGGGAAGGGATGCGCGGGACCGGGATGCGCGGGGCCGGGGCGGGGTGAAGCCTTGCGGCCTCTCCCCGCAGAGCCGCCATGGAGGTGTTTATGAAGGGCTTGTCCAAGGCCAAGGAGGGGGTGGTCGCCGCAGCTGAGAAGACCAAGCAGGGGGTGGCCGAGGCCGCGGAGAAGACCAAGGAAGGGGTCCTCTATGTGGGTAAGGACCGGCTTGCCCTGCCTGCCCCCTGCCAGCTCCTTGCCAGCCCCTGCCTGCCCCCTGCCTCCCCACCCCCGGCTAATCTCTGCCCGTCCCTGCCTGCCCCTGCCGGCACTCTCTGCCTGCCCTTGCCTGCTCCTGCGTTTGCCCTTGGGTCCTCCTGCCCATCCCCCTGCCCATCCCCCTGCCGTCCCCCCCTGTCCCCGGCCCCGCTCCCCCTCTCCCCTGCTCCTTCCCCGCCACGACCACCCTGCGGCGGAGTGCTCCGGGGCAGAGGCTCGGTGCCCGCAGTGCCTCGCTGCCCACCGGGAATCTGCAGGGCAGGAGAGTCGGGGACTGGTCCCCAGGCTGAGGGGATGGAACCCTCGGGGGCTGTACCCCTTGCAGCTCCCCATCTGAGCCTGAGGGTCTCTCAGCTCTGTGCCCGGGATGCTTTGGGGCAGGAAAGCAGAGGGATCGTGATGGAGGTGGTGACCTCTGTGTTGGGATGTGCCTCTCTTGGGGCAGGGGGGTGTGGACCGCGTTTGTCCCCCTTGGAGAGGCAATGCCCTGGAGCTCATCCCACAGCGGCACCTCCTCTGCACCCGGCTGGTGATTGAGGGGTCCCTCCGTGCTGCCCCTTGAGGACAGGATCTGTTCAGAGCCAAGTCCTAGAAGACATGGCTGGCAGGAGGAGCAGTTCCTGGGCAGTCTGAGTGCCTGGCTGTGCTGCTGGAATGCTCAGGAGGGAGCTGAGGCCAACCCGGCTTGCGGTGGGAGGGAGGAGGGTGCAGGGCTGGGGCTCTGTTCTGCTCCAGGAGGCACGAGCTCTGTGGCAGAGCTGAGGCCCCAAAACTGTTCCCCTGGGCAGTGGTGGGTGCCCGCCCTGGGCCCCCATCCTCGCCAGCGGGTATTTGCTGGACTGGGGTCCAGCAGCTCAAGGAACAGCCTGAGGCCCCATCCTGCAGGAGCTGCCCAACTCCTACTTTTCCTTCCATCCAAGACACCCCACTCCCATTCTGTGGGGTATCCTGGGTGGTGTCACTCTGCTTGAGAGAGCCTGGCAGGGTCAGCACAGCCAGCAGCAGCACCCAGCTGTGGGCACTCCAGCTGTGGGGCTTCCCATGCTCTGTTGGCACCAGCTCTAGGTTTGGATCCTAGGAAGGTTTTTCTCAGCAGCATGGCCCACATTCGCCCTGCCTGGCTGTGCCCAGACACGGTGCTGGGCCCTGGGGTCTCTGCCCTGCCTGGCACGTGGTGGTGGCCCTGTGCTGCCCCAGTTCTGGCTCCTGCAGGGACAACAGGAGCCTTGAGGGGAGCCAGGCAAGTGCTCAGCCCCCCAGGTGCCCTGGCATGGGGTGTGGACGGGCTGCTGTCCTGGCTCAGAGCCCTGCCAGGGTCCTGGCATGGCACATATTGGAGCCCAGCTGTCAGTCCCTCTAACCTGATCTCTGTCTCTTTCTACCCCCAGGGAGCAAAACCCAAGGTGTGGTGCAAGGTGTAACCTCAGGTACGGCCCCTCTGTCCTCCTGCCGGGGTACTGCTCTGTCCCTGAGAATGTGGCCACACTAACGAGATCAGAGGCTAATTGAGGGGCTGATGTCACTCTGCTAAAGCCTCTTATATAACAGGGCTGGCAAACAAGGATTTGCGGCGGCTGCTCACACTCCTTGCCCAGCTGCAGAGCAGTGCCATGGCCCCCTCCCCTCCCCACCAGGGCAAGGAAGCGAGAAGAGCTTGATCCTGCCAGCACCTCCCTGCCAGCTCCCCCCGTGGGTGGTGCAGGGTGTGAATCCACATCTGGGTACCCTTTTTGGCAGGGGGGGCACTGATGGGCACCCCCGGCTCTTGCAGTGGCTGAGAAAGCGAAGGAACAGGCGTCCCAGCTGGGCGAAGCCGCGTTCTCCGGCGCCGGCAACATCGCGGCGGCCACCGGGCTGGTGAAGAAGGAGGAGTTCCCTGCAGACCTGAAGGTGAGAGTCCCCATGCCCAGGGGGATGCTGGCACATCCCCAGGCTTGGCGAGGAGCCCTAAAACAGAGACTGTGAGGGTGCCCAGGCGGTCTCTTCGTGCCCAGGGCAGGCAGGCATCGCGGCCCAGGGTGTGTGCGGACGTGTGCGCGCTCGGGGCCTGGCATGGCGGCCGGCGGCCTGGGCCCGCGGCACGGCGCTCCGGCGGCGGAGAGGTGACCTGACAGCTGCGGGAGGGGCAGCGGGTTCCAGCTCGCCCTCCCATGAGCTGCTGGCTTCCAGCTTAGCCCAAAATAGCATCAGCTGAAGAAATGAGGCCACCGCCGCCGCCGCTGCCACACAGGGGGATTGGCTGCCCCCCTTTGCCGCCTGCCAGCCCCGGGGAGGGGTTACCCAGCACCGCCCTCCCCTGCCAGGGATGCAGGATGCTCCCGCAGCCCTGCCAGCGCCTGCAGCCTGTCGAGGCCCACGTGGAGCAGCACTGCCCCAGGCTGGGGCTGGGAATTGTGTATATGGACATACCCACACAGCCCCTGCTCCCACAGACTTGTGCATGCCACCTCCCAGCTAGGTGGGCTGCTGTGTGCCCAGGGTGCCACTGGCTCTCCATGGTGCCCGTTGTATTGTGGGGGCTTCGCTGGTCTGGCAGGGGCAGGGAGGGTGGTGCTGTGTGTATGTGTGTGTGTGTGTGTGTGGCACTGACCTCCTGGTTCACTCTCAGGCAGAGGAGGTGGCCCAGGAAGCTGTGGAGGAGCCACTGGTGGAGCCGCTGCTGGAGCCAGAGGGGGAGAACTACGAGGAACCCCCACAGGTGAGGGGACATGGTGGCACAGTGGGGTCAGTGCACTGTCCAGAGCAAAGCTGGTGTTGGCCTGGGGAAGAGAGGGGCTCTGTGCCCCACCTGGACTTTCTCACTGGCTCTTTCCTTCCCCATCCCGCAGGAGGAATACCAGGAATACGAGCCAGAGGCATAATGGACCCCCATCCTTGCCTCTTCCACCAGCAGCACAACGAACCGCCGGTAGCCCCCTGCTCCTCTCCAGCCGGCCCCAGCCGGTGCCCGTGTGCCGGGGAGGAGCAGGGGTGCCCCTGCCCCGTTCGCTCACGAGTTCTTCCTCCAGTTCCGTTCCAAGGGACCGTGTCCGTGTCTCCGTACCGTGTCTAGCAGTGAGAAACACCCGCTGTGTCCAAGCCCCCAAGCCCTGGCGCGTGCCCAGGGCCGGTGTGCGTGTGTGTGAGCGTGTGTGTGTGTGTAGCCCGGGTTTATGGCTCTGTCTCCCTCCCAGTGCCATAAACCCCGGCTGCGTCCCGGCGTGTCTGTGTGTGTACAAAGCATGTTTACCTGCTCGCGGGCCGCTGTACATTCCGCTTGCACGCGTGTCCCCGTGGTTCTGCTCTGGTCATCGTGGAACTATTTTTTTTTATATATATATATCTCTCTCTATCTATGGGTGGACGGGTCTTTTGCCTTTGTGAACCCTTGGCGCCCCAGCCCGCTCCCCAGCCTGCTGGGTGGTGGCGGTGCCTGCGCCTCCCCTGAGGTCCCATAGTGCCGACGCTGTGTTGTGACGTGGCATGGATATTCCCCCGTCGCTGGATGTGCAATACGAGGGCAGCTGCCAGTGACACAGCTGCCCCCGTGTCCGTGAATAAAGCCAACTCTTGTCTGTAGCCCCCTGGTCCTGCTTGTGGGGTCCTTGGGCAGGGGTTGGCCCCGTGCTTTGGTTAGCAGGGGTAGTTTTGGGAAGAGGAATGGGGCTGGTGCTGTGGGAGTGGGCAGGACTGGTTGCTCACGAGGACAAGATGCCTTTCTGACTGCTGGCTGCTGCATCAGAGCAGGTCACTGTGCCCTGACTCCAGCCAGCCTCTGGCTGAGACTTGGGGTGCAGGCATTGTCCCCATACCACCTGCCTGCCTGCAGGGCTTTGCCTCTGCAGGGCCCCTGTGGGGCTGAGAACAAGCCAGGGTAGACACAGCCCTGGGCTCCAGCACTGTTTTCCCCCTCCCTACATGCCCTTGCTCCCCTCAAGGGGCAGGGGAGGTGGTTGTCACCCACAGCATGTTCAGATGGACACACCACCTGAAGGGCAGGTGGGTGTCACACATTCTGTGGGATGTCTGCCATGGCAGGGGATCCTGTGCCCACCCCACAGCACCATCCTTGAGTCTTCAGCTCTCCCAGGGCAGGCCCACCAGCCCAGCCTGGGCCCCAGCTAGCCTTTAGCCCCTTGACTGCATTACAAGCTGGGGTGAGAGGCTGGGCTGAGTGTCCCTGCCATGAATATCAGATTAGATC